CGTCCAACACAGATGCAAGTGCTGCTCTCTGCTCGGATGGGGGCAGGGAGGATATCTTCGTCAATGTCACATGCCCCTTAAAACTTGTGGTACCAGGCATCAAACTCCCGTAGTGAAGCCGAGGACGACAAGTGTGGGGCAGGTGCGGCGCCGAAGGGAAACTTGGCCTGCCATGGAGCACTGCTGCTCGTGGCAGCTGTGCCACTTGTAGTCGTTGTGCTGTGGTGACTGGGCTCCTGTTGAGAGACCACATGCTCCAGGATTTGGCTCATGCCTTCTTCCCTACGCTGGGATTCTTCCTGGGCTTGCTCCTGCTGCATCAGGAGCGCCGTCAGCTGTTCCAGTTGCTTCTCCATCTTGAATACGTAGAAACAAGCCGCTATAGACAAGCACTGGATCCTACTCACTGCACCATTGTTCAAGTTCTACTTGGTTACTGACTGCTCAATGAAGCACAGTCTTCACAGATGCAGTTTACTGGGAAAGGTCTGTACAGTGGTGCAGCAGGAAACAATCTGTCTCGCAGGGTAATACACATGATCAAGAAACCTCTTGCTATGTCATCTAACTACTCGGACACCCAACTTCATTCACACCGCCAGGTGGCAGCACTCATGCACACTTCACTCACACCACTAGAGGACAGCACTTGTGCACACGCTCATTTACGCCGTACAGTGAGCGGTTCACTCGCTCGGCTGAACCTAGCCAGGTTACTATGCCCTGCATTGATTCATCTTGCATTGGTTATGAATATTGACACCTGTCCCAGATTTTATCTACAATTTGTATGTAATTGTCCTTCCTCTATGAATTTCTTTGTTATCATATAGCAACAGTCATAATTGCCGCCTTAATCTTGTAAACATTACTCTCGATGGTGATTGGTTGTCATAATGGTGTAACTGAAATGTGATTGGCTGGAATTTCAGTGATTGAATCTTTGCTCGTAATTGAAGAAAGTGCAACAGATTATCCGATCCAGGGTTCAAGCCATTGTTCTGAATATGGGTAATCCATTGCAGGAAATCTCGGATCGAGGAATCCCGATTCGCATGCCTGAGCCGAGCTCAAATCCCAGGCTCGAACCACCATTCTGAATTCGGGCCCTAGGGTCTGGCAGAGTTGATTTATTCATTGTTATTGATCTGAGCACCCTTCTTTCTATCCTTGGACAGTCTATCTCAAATGAGGAAGGATACACCTTCTGAAATTGCCCTGTGCCTCTGGAAAAAATGGGGAAGGAGAAGTCTGGAATCCTATTTTGAGCCAGTGTTTAATGAATACATAACCACCACAGCATAACACTGCCTTCACTTTATATGTATTTTTGTGAATTCAAGTTTGCCTACCAAACACACATAACTTCGTAGCTGACCACAACAGAGAACGCTCAAGGTCATTTCGACTGCTGTATGTTTTTTCTCTTTTATTGAGATATCATGTGTGGTTTGCTGTTTGCATATCAGATGGTATTACATATAAGTAAGAATTGACCTTGCATTTTCATTGTGTTGGTTTATTAACTCATCTCTTCTGAGACCATAGCAAGTACAATATGTTTACTATAAGTGGTTAGCCTTACTACCTGTGAGGTTGGAATTTTGACATGAGGAATTGTATCAGGTGAATCTGGCTTATGAGCACAGGATGGCTGTTGGCCAAGTTTGTTTTTGTATGATCCAGTATGGGATTGGATAAACCTTTATGTTAAAAGTTGCAACAATTCACAATAATTCACTTTGATTAGAAATCAGAGAGCAACCTCAGCAAGTGCCCCTTTCATTTTAGGCAGATTGTATAGGAGTAAAAGGAAGGGTGATTGATTAGATTATAGTTATAACATATGAGCCCAAGGGTCCTAGGGAATAAGCTCAAGAAACCCCTATTAAGTCACCCACTATTAGTGTGGACTTCTTGTCTATGAGCTCTACCACAAGAAGGAAATTCAAGATCAACACAAAAGCAAATAGACACACATTTTTCCTCCCTGTCTTTTTGTTTATTTATTCCTGTTGCTGTTAATTATATTATGGCACTACCTTTCCACAACAACGTCCCAAATCTGTTTTATCTATGTCATTTCACAAAAGTTAATATCCCCCATCAGTAGAACTTCCTTCCCCCAAAATTCTTTGACGTTATGCCCTCCACATATTTACACACTACAGTAAGTCCTCTCTTAACTTCTGGGTTACGTTCCTGAAAACACGACGTTATACGAAACAACATTAAGCAGATAAATTTTCCCCATAAGAAATAGATGAAATACGAGTTACGTTCCTGAGCCTCCCTTTCCCCATGAAATACATTACATATACAAAAAATCATTGCCATTTCTATAGAAAATAGTGCATGCATATACAACTACTAAGTTTGTATGGGTACTCACCGATGGGCAGAGGTGGTAGAGCGAGTATGTGGTGGGTAGTGAAGCTGAGAAGGCTGATGGCGGGAGCGGAGGAGGGTGGTGATTCACTGAGACTCTGCGGCTGCCTCCTTCTCCTCCTGCACTGACTGGGGTTCTTCCGCCGCTGCTTGCTCCTCCTCGGCTGCCAGCTGCTGTTAAGATGTGCTGCTGCTTCTGCCGTCCTGCGACGAAAAAATGAATCCAGTGTTGACCGCTTGGTGCTACTCTTCTTCTTCTCCTTATACATCTCAGTGTAACAACCAAGACTTTCATCAATGCTGCGTTGAATCTTTGAGCTACGTTCTATGTTTAGGTCGTCATCTACAAGGATTTGCATACTTTGCTGGATCATGTTGAATGCTTCTGCCATCCTCTTGGGAGTTAGCATTCGTTGAGGTTCTTCTTCTTCATCTTCGTCTTCAACGGGACTGTGTTCTGTTAGTTGTTGCAAATCCTCATTGGTGAGCTCTCCTGTATGAGATGCCTGGACATCCTCAATATCCTCTGATTCCAACTCATCAAAGCCTGCCTGTCTAGCCAAACTTAGGATATCCCTATTCACTGCTGGGACTAAGTCCGTGAATCTCTTAAAACTGTTGACTCACTCGGGCCACAATTTACCCCACACACCATTCAGGCAACTTTGTGACACCTCTTCCCATGCCTTGCCAATGTAGTGAATTGCATGAAGAATGTTGAAGCCACGCCAATATTCTCGGATCGTTGTTTTATTATCTCCGTCTGTAGCCTTGAGCAGCTGGACCATGGTACGGCATAAATTATACGCCTTGAATGCGGCAATGACGCCTTGGTCCATAGGCTGCATCAGTGCTGTCGTGTTGGGAGGCTGGAATACAACTTTTACACTGTCATGCAAGTCGTCGAGATTGGGAGGATGAGCTGGAGCATTGTCAAGTATCAGAAGAATTTTGAAGTCAAGTTTCTCCTTGGCACAGTATTCCTCATTGCACGGTTGGCGTACACGATTAACCACTGGCTAAATATGGCACCAGTTATCCATGCCTTCTTGTTTGCCTTGTAAATGACAGGAAGGTGATCCTTAGAATGACCTTTCGGGGCCCGTGGGTTAGCTGAGCTAGAAATCAGCATAGGCTTCAGCTTGAAGTCGCCGGCAGCGTTCGCACCAAGCATCAGTGTCAAGCGGTCTTTTTCCGCTTTAAAACCTGGCGCTCTTTTCTCCTCCTTGGAGGTATAGGTCCTCTCAGGCATCCTCTTCCGAAAGAGACCAGTCTCATCCACATTGAAGACTTGCTTCGATGAGTAGCCTCCTTCCTGGATAATCCGTTTCAATTCTGGCAGGAATGTTTCGGCAACAACCGTGTCTGAACTGGCAGCTTCACCAGTCATCTTAATATGGTGGAAGTTATAACGATGCTTAAATCATTGAAACCATCCTCTGCTGGCCGTAAAGTTCTCTTCCTTCAATTCTTCGCCCTCTTCTGCCTTTAAGTCGTCAAACGGGGATCTGGCCTTATGCTGGATAACCATAAGGCTCACAGGGGCATTGCATTGATTCTGATCCTCCATCCACATTGCCAGCATCTTTTTCACCTTTTCTCTCACAGTGCTTCAACTACAAGTTGTCTTAGTAGCACTCAGAGAAGAACCACTTCCAGCACTAACCTTAATCTTGTCGGCATTGGTCCGGATAGTACGCACCATTGTGGGGGTTAGACCAAGCACAACGGCCATGTCCACAACACGTTCCCTTTTTTCAAAACGGGTCCAATACATCCATTTTCGTAGCCAGGGTAGTGCTCTTACCTTGCCTCTTCACTACACTATCACTTGATGGGCGCTTGGAAGCCATTTCGAATGGTTAGATTACAGTTTTAGAGCAGAAACACTTAAGCACACATGAATGATGTGAAGTCAAAACAAAAACTGGCTCGGCGTCACTTGGGGACGCTGTGACGTTCCGCGAGTGAGGGGAGCGTGTCGAGCCGAGAGAGTGTAGCGCGGCCAGACAAGAGCGCCATAGAAAGTAGTCTGTGACGACACAAAACGGCGTAGTATCGGATCACCGGGACGTTAAACGAATTTTTGGTCTCTAAAGCTTAGCAGCGTAGTACCGAAACAACGTTAAGCGGGAAGCGTTATACAAGGACTTACTGTACTAAATATCCATCATTCACTTCCAGCACATCCTTCATTCCATCCGTCTGCCTCCTTCTTAGTCTTCCCTTCTACCATCCTCCTCTGAGTGATATATTATTTTACCATTCTTCCAATTCCCAATTTCTCACTATGCCCATACTGTCTGAGCAAACTCTGGTCAGTTTTGTCTGACACTTCTTTCACTTCCATATCTAATTCTCATATTTCATATTCTCTTGTGTATGTCATTTATGTTCAAATTTGTTTCTTCTACTCGCGTCCAGAGTCCATGCTTCACACCCACAAAGTAATATTGGCTCAATGATTATCCCGAATATATCCCAATCCTTGCTTCCTGTGACCCATTAGGAATGCAGCGCAGGTATACAGTACACTGTGTTAGGTATTGTCCAGTTTTTTTTTCTATCATTCTATTCACAGATAATTAATCTGTCACTTTGATTTATTGCAGACGGTTTTTGAAATGATTAAAACCCGTAAAGATGCAAACACACAAGTAATAAAAAATATGAAAGAAAAGCGGGGGTACGATGAAAAAAGGATTGAGGCCTTTCACAAGAACTTGCAGGCCAAACAAACTGCCAAGGAAGAAAAGGAAGCTTCATCAAAACAGGTGAGGGGTGAGCCACTCCAGCTATTTCACACTGTTATTGTTGAGTGGGATGAAATATTTCCCTAATTTTGTGAAGATTCTTTGTCCTCATACAACCATTAATGATCTTAATCTTGTTTTATACTGTACATCTTAAATTAGTACAGTTATAACAACCATAATATTTGCTCTTGTGGGGCCTTGTTATGCACTGCAATTAATGCTTGAAATTTAAATATAATAGAACTTCCATAATGCAGAATAATTGGAACTCTACCTTTGTCAATGTAAGGCAAATTCCATATTATGATTAATTGTGTTTGCCACCTTCAATGAAGTTGACATGATTTACTATACCATAGTTGTATTTTATCTACTGTTTTTGTACCTGTATACAGCATTGATGTTATGCAACTTTTTTCATACAGTATTAATATTTTGCCACTTTTTACACACAGTATTAATATTTTGCAACTTTTTACATACATTACTGTATTAATGTCTTGCAACTTTTTACATACAGTACTGTATTAATGTTTTGCATTTTTTTACATTTAGTCCAGTATTAATGTTTAGCAGCAATTATTTTATTAAGCCAATGAGGTAGGTGAGATGAGGCTTCCAGGTTTGTTGCAATTTATCAGTTGTTTTTGTATCCTCCCAAATTCGTTCGATACTGGGAGGGTTTACTGTACAGGGGGTATAGGCATCCCTCGAGTTATGGTTGGTCTACAATCTGAGAAATGGTCCTTAACTCAATACTACAGGTATCCTTCGTTATCCAAATGAATTAGGTTCCTTGAAAGCCATTCAGATAGTGACTATACAAATAATGACTAATAAGAGAACAAATGGGGGGAAAATAGGTGCTCAGCTCTGCAACAACAAGAAACCCTACTGTACTGTACTGTATAGTAATTGCTAAGCTGAACAAGATATACTCCACAGTTGGTACATTATCTAATTGCAGGGCAGTCAGGGCTCAACAAAGGGTGTGTGGAGGAATGGGCTGACTTGAATTTTAATTGATTTGAATTTTGGACATAGATCACATTCACATATTGAAAATGATGTGTAAGAATAAAAAATTTGAATAATAAGGGATACCTTTGCCTATTTTTCCATAGACCTCCATTATGTAATTGGAAATACATTCTACCTGTACAGACAAATTTTCTGTACAAAACACACTAATGACACTTTTTAAGTACAGGCAGTCTCCGGGTTACAAATGAGTTTTGTTCCTACTGGCATTCTTAAGTCTAAAATGTACTTAGTCAAAACACCTACCCTATGTGCATACCATACTTGAAGAACAATGTTTAAAATTTCACTACATCATAGCCCAAGTAATTATATAATGTACTTCTAAATCAATTAATTGAAAAGAAAAGAAGAAATAGAATGACAAAATACAGTAAATGAAAGTAAAAAATAACTTATCGGGTAAAGGTAGTAGCTAGTACACAGCTATCAAACAGGGAGGTACTACTGTCTGGGAAGATTATGTAATCATAATTTATTGTCTAATGTGCCTGGGTGGGCTAATTCCCGTTAAAAAAAAGTAAATTTAATGTTTAACGTTATGGGACCTCGTTTGCATCAGCGGCTATTCATAAGTTGGATGTATGTAATGTTGAATTGAAATACTGTATAATATTTTTTTTATATATGTACAGTTGCCTCTATATGAAAGTACCACACCCTGGGGGGAGTGTGAAGGCACAGGTACAAGATGTGGCAATGCAGCTTGCCCGGTTTATCAGTTCCCCGTAGTTCAGAACTAGTCACTCACCCTTGGCTAAATAACTACACTATACTGCGTAACGTGTAATAAGGGTTTGTTTATTTGTTTACCTGCTTTATTGTCTGTATCTTATCATAGAGTAACTTCACTATTTCACACCTATTCATTCAGCCCTGACTACAGTCCACCATTGCCATATCTCGTACTCAAGTCCTCACAAACTCCCAGGCTGTGGTATGCTCATGTGGAGGCAACTCTCCAGTACAGGTAGTCCTTGCTTACCAATGGATTCCATTCCTGAAAACCCTTGTGATGTGTGAAATTGCATGTGCAAAACTAATATGCACACAAGAAACAATGTACAGTGAACCCTCCAAGATTCGGACCCGGTAAATATGGATTTCGGAAGATTTGGACAAAAATTAGGAGGTTCTGGGCTAAGAAGCATTCCCAAAATAGGATGAAAGTAGTCTTAGGCTTAAAGTTTTTTCTTATAAAAAGTCACAGACTTTACTTAGCGGAATAACTTGCATTGCTGGAATCCTTGCAAGATTGCGAATAATTTGAGGATAGACATCACATAGTTTGCACAAGAGGTAAAGCTTTAGTCCTTTAGTGTAGTACATTTGGGTACAAAGAGAGTACAATAATATGTTGCTCAAAATTATGGCTTTTTCACAGGAAAAAGTCTGTACTACTAACCCCAGTGGTCAGGATAATATGTACTGTATTTAAGGTGTTTTTTATATCATTATTTATCGTTTTTATACATTTAGTACATTTGCCGGAAGATTCAGACAATTGGCTTTTCCGGACAGGTGGCCCCCCCTTTTAGTCCGGATCTTCAAGGATTCACTGTATTAATGGGGCTGTGTTCCTCACTGGTGATTTTGAGAAACATTTACTGTACAATAAATAAATAAATGGGAAACACATGCCAATATACAGTCATGCGCCGGTTAACGTCCTAGATACGTTCTTGGAAACGTGACGTTAACCGAAATGGACGTTGTCCGATCATCACAAACTTTTTATTTATACTTATGTGTATGTGGAATACTATACACGTAGATATATACACTTTTACTGTTAAATCACTACTGTAATGTGATACAGGTGATTAATTTTTATCTCTTGTGCAAAATACATGGCGTTTATATTAAAATTATTCACTGTTTTACAAGGATTCCAGCAACGCCCAGCAGATGAGGGAGAGGGTGGGAGCGAGCGAGGGAGCGTGGGGGGAGGGGAGGTAGTACGTTTGACAGTTGGCACAGGCCCAGGTCTAACGCGTGTATATTTATCAGTTCTTAGGTGACTAAGCTTCTCTCTTATAAAAAGCCAGTGAAATGACCTGGGTGAATATAATTAACATAGCTGGGATTCGTGTAACATACTGATTAATTTGAATATAAACATGCTATAATTTGCACTAGACAAAGCAATTTTAGTACCGTAATCAAATTAGTACATGTGCACTCCAGCTTTGCACTAAGAAATCTATGTAAATCTACCCAAAAATACAGTTGAAAAACTTTTTTATAAGATGTACTACAGTACTGTACACTAATGTACAACAATTTTTTTCTCTTGAGCAAAATATATGACGTTTATATTCAAATTATTGGCTGTCTTGCAAGGATTCCAGCAATGCAAATTATAATCTCCAAACTTTAGTCTGAGATATTATATAAGATAAAAACTGTAAGCCTAAAAGCCTCGCTGGGATGGGGACTGACGGCTCCGCCACCCAGCGAGAGGTTGGGGGGGGGGGTTGAGGCGATAAGTTTGAGGCGAAGGTCTCTGTGTGTTTATTTAACAGTCCTACTAAGCTTCTCTCATTTTAAAATGCCAGTGATATTTCCTAGGAAAATATAATTAACATTGCTGGGATTCTTGTAAGATACTGATTTATTTGAATATAAACATATTGTAATTCGCACTAGACATAACAATTTTAGTACCGTAATCAAATTAGTACATGTGCACTCCAGCTTTGTACTAATTTATTTTACGTTTCTTTTATTATGGTGTGTGCATATAAATGGATGAAAATAAATGAAGAAATTTATGTAAATCTACCCAAAAATACAGTTGAAAAAATTTATATTATAAATGTACTACAGTATTGTACACTAATGTACTACATTGTTTATATCTTGAGCAAAATATATGACGCTTAAATTTAAATTAATCTCTGTCTTGCAAGGATTTCAGCAATTCAAATTATATTATCCTAACTTTAGTTTGAGATATTATATAAATAAACATAAAGAAATCACCAATCTTTTATCTTGAACACGAGGGTGGTGGGAAGAGAGGGGGGGGGGGTGAGGTGACAGAATGTCTGGCGTTTGTTTGTTTGTTTATTTATTTGAGATAAGATTTGACAGTTAGCGCTGAAGGCCTGCCTGCGTGTTTATTTACCATTACTTAAGAGTGACTAAGCTCCTCTCATAATTTTCCACCCAAACGACCTGGGTGAATATAACTTACATTGGAGGGATTCTTGTAAGATAGTAATTTATTTGAATGTTTTTTTTTTTCAATTTAAATTTTAATTGTTTATTCCTTGATAGAGGAAGCGGAATCCTAGTGCTGTCACTTGGTACCCCTGTACCATAACACCAGAAGCAACTGGCCAGTGTCACAAGTATATACAGTACAGTACAGTCATCCCTTGGTTATTGCGCCTAATTGGGACCCCGCCGATAACGAAAGTACAGAACCTATGGGATTTATTCTAATTGGTTCATTTACCCAAGACCCAACCCCAAGTTTCCCATTTTACGACCATTAAGACCCACTAAATATATATATATAATGTTATGGTAAATATCATAAACACACATAGGCATGGCTAGGTTTATTACAAAGTGATGAAAAGGGTATGCTTAATACTGTAGTCCACAAAACATGTAGCTATGCTTTTTTTATTTGGTCCCCCGTCATACGAGTCCGTTTTCTCTCACATCAGGACGCCTGAGTCCTCCGTTTTCTCTCTTAATCGTAGAGTGCACCAGAAACTTTACTACAGTCAACCCTCGCTTTACACGGTCCCACATTCCTCGTTTCCACGTTTACGCGGTGCCCTGCCAGAACCTAACGTGCTCACATTACGCGGTGCGTGAACCCCATTACGCGGAGAGTGTCCGGCGCGACGCTATTTTTAGATTCGCCCCACCCGCCTGCCTGCCTGTGCTCTCGCCTCTCCCTCCTCCTCCCTCCCTCCCTCCTCCCTCCGCCTGGGCAAGCCGCGCGGTAAGGTTGCGCA